ATGTGGAGTGTACTCCAGATCACTAAGCCTAACGATTAAGTGGGAAATTGGAAAAATACCAGCGTGATTCAAACAGAACTGGCGACAGAAAAAATAACCAGAAAAGGAATTTCTGGCAAAAACAGAACAATCTGCACTGACAGCAGACAACCCCTATTAGCCTTGAACAGATAACGTGTTACCTCAGGGCTAGAACTAGAGTGCCACCAAAGTTTAGCCAAAGCCTCAGTAGATAATAATATTATTCTGAGGTGGGTTAAAGGGCACGACAGGAGTGACGGTAATCGCATTACCGACTCTATAGCCAAGGAAGCGGCTGGACTAAGAACTTAAGGACCCAGTGGCACCTACGGCCTGATGACTTCGACAATTGCGGAACTAGCCAAATGTTACACCTACGCTTAATTCCTAACTCTGGGATTCTGGTCATCTGGCGATGACTAGAAAAAAATTTACGCTTAGCAGTATGATTTCTGACTGGCCACTGTCAACTAAGGAAACACCTCCATTATATGGGTCTAGTGGACACACCTCTATGCAGGATGTATGAAGAGGAAGATGAGACTGTCAGGCATGTCGTATGCGAGTGCCCGGAGTTATCGTCAATAAGAGAGTGTGTGTTCGGTGAGTCTTGGCCTACACCTGCCGATATAAAGGAGATGTCTCCAGTGACCTGTCCACCTTCCTGGAAAGGACAGGATAGACGATGACCTAGGAGGACATCTCCTCAGGAGGATATACAATGGGTCACATGTGGCTTAAAAGCTGTGGGCTTACACTCACCCTCCCTACTCTACAGATACAGATACGTTAAAGTCATGGAAAATTAGACATTTCGAATACGTTCCGCCAAGAAAAGCCGTGGCGGACATTTGAACGATGTTTTATTCCACACATAACGGCATCAATAGTTCTTTCCAATGAATAAAAAAGTCCGATTATAACTCACACACACTTTGTTTTAATTTCGATCCAAGGGGGACAAGATTGATCGCTTCGAGTGGTAGGAAAAAATTAACAAACATTTGAATTTTTTCTCCCCATAACAGTTACCAACAGTTTCATAAATAAAACCAATGCATTCGCCAAATATCTCAAATTGTTAGTAGGTGCTGTGTAAATATTAGATAAACAGGTAAATTTGTCAGATTTCGATGTCGGGCCCATATTATACGTTTCTATATCTATCCTTCTCTGAGTCACAACTATTTGCACCGCACTGGGTGTAAAGTGAATCGATCCCGTTAAACTCATAGGACACGTCTAGTCTGTTTCATTAGCATTCAGTGAATAATGAAGAAGAAGTTGAGGAATGTTCGCCTCATAAACCGTCGACATTCCGAGAAAAAAGAATTGAAAACAATATATTGTTACGTTACCTGGATTTTCAGGTACATAACAATGTATTTCTTGATATATCCAAAGATATTTGAATGAAGTGTATCAACTTCAATTATTATAATTGGTCATACAACTGTTACAAATATTTGAAATATCAATTTTGAAAATGATGAATACTTTGACCCGTTACTCGATGAAATTTAATACTGTCCAGGGTAATAGTTACAGAATTTTCACAATGAATTGATATGTTGGTCAAACCGGAGGGTATATTAAAACACGAGTTTCAGAACACATGAGAGACTCTAAGAAACTGAATAAAAAAACCCCACAGTTCTCGATCAACATGAAAAAGGATATGTACATATTTTTGATTTTGATCATCCAAATATTCTAGATGTTCATCCATATTTATCCCAAAGGCTTGTGAGCGAAATGATACATATCCTCAAATGCGATATTGTTAACACTAGAAGAGCTTTTTCAATTTGATAAGTGAAATACTTGAATGATTTACCTTTTCTTCATAAAAAAGCAGACACCACCTTATCAGAATCACAGATAAAGCCATTCGTTTGTTTCATGTCGTTTTGTGTTGGTGTTGTCTCGGAAATTTGTCTGTAGCAATTTTCTTTATTTATTTTCAATATGTATCTAATTTGTATTATAGTTCTTAAACTATTTATCAACAGGAAGAAACTACTTTTCGATGAGAAATTAAATTAACAACTCATTATTTCTCGTAGAATTGAAACAATAATAATCGTATAAGTTTTGTGGGAGATNCAAATATATCGGTGTTTTGATTTAGTGAAAATGACCAGTGACGTTTGTACAGATGGAAACCAGTGGTGCGCTCTAGTGAGTACGTTCAAACCCTAAACAATTGACTATTCTCGGAAGCGGCTAACACACTGCCCATCAATGCAATAAGACATTTACAGTGACAGCAACGAATAATACACGTCCTATGTTTATATGTATTGAATGTATATTTACATGTTTGTTTGTTTACATATTTATAAGTATAAGTTGACATGTTCGATACCATGTAGTTGGTCCATGAATGAATAAATTTCTTTCTTTCTTTCTTTCTTTCATATCCTCTGTCTATAATTGAAATGAACATCTTCGAGGATTTTCCAAAAGTCATGTTTCAAAAACCGCAAAAATTTTGTTTCTTTCGAAATATCTTCGATAAAATCAGACTCAATCATATGATCTCCAATAATTCCATCGATGTTGATGATTAATACCATGTTAGAAATCATACGTTAAAAGGTAAGACCTCGTTAGTCCTTAGCTCGCACAATTTTCGCCTTCTGAGAAATATATTTTAAACATATTGTGTCATAATGATGGAAATTGTTCCTATTTATGAGACACTCGTAACCCACCGTGAATATCGTGTTTTTCATTATTTGAACAGCACTCTCAGCGAGTCGTTTATTGAGAAATTATATGGCGTGTTTTGTTCCAACAGAACGCAGAAACTCTTTGAATAGGCCAAAAATTAATATGTTTGCAATGTCTTTGTATACCTGAAACTAATGTCCTTATTATGTTTTATACCAAAATATCATTGACTTCTCTCTAGATTTATTGGACGTTGCTTTCCACTTGGGTGCATTTAACCTTTCTCCTCCTATCAAATTTGACAGGAGCTTCGTCTAAGGGGTGCAGCGGTCTTGCTCGAAACAATGCTTTTCATAGAACTTTCCGTTATAAAAACACTTTAACTTTTTCATCAAGTCGCCTCCCGCTCGGGTGACCTATTGTTTTTTTCCACATATCTTCCATATAAATGATGCGATTCTACTCCCACGTGGACATTCGCTCCACTCCGGTCTCTAACCGGCGTGAATAGGGGTAGGTGTTATGTAAATCCACTTTAGCACTCCCACGTGGACATCTGGTCAACTCCGGCCTCCAACCGGCGTGAATGAGGGTGCTATTTTTCTTTAAACAATTGTAAGACTTCTACCAAAATATTTATTTTAATGGTGGCACGTTCTGTAACGGCGGATATTCACAGCACAAACTGAGTTTCATCTTCAACAATGGCGTCCGCGTACTTCTTTGTGGACGGTCGTTATCCGTCTACCACCATATCAGAAACGAAACTATATAATGGTTACTGCTTTCTGTACTATGTTGAATACATTTACATTTGGAAGTTCTCTTCTTCTACTACACTGGCATCTTGAGACAGCAACTACATCACAAAAGCTGACAAATGAATGAATGAATCTCAAGAATGAGTATATACCATGTACAATAATAAACACTTCTTGCACTTTACTTTTGATAAAAGTACTCACATTTGTAGCTGAAACTGAATAAAATACATCATTCATTACAAATTCATTGCGAACAGAATGATTTGTTAAAAATATTGTTTATAAAACCTATCCTAGCTAACACCAGACGTAGCAAATGTCGAGGTTATTGGAACATATGCTTCCAAGGCCAACAAATTATTCAATTTCACAAAAATCTGCATGCAGCCTCCTTCAGGGCCATTTCTAATCTATCGAGTCAGATTAAGATGGCTTATCAGTGTCAGTTGAACAAGGTTCATGATTATGTGAAAGATATTTTCTGTATTTTGGCCAAAGAGACACTGAACGAATTTTTATTATATCTAAAGTATCTCGTCCCACAATGGAACGAGAAACCCAAGGGACTCGTTTTGTATGTTCTTGTGAGCATTGGGTACATTGGGCCACATGGTGTACAGGAAACCAACACACCGAGACAGGTACCTGAACAAAAACTCTGACCACCAGCCACACACCCGCGGTATATATACCGGATCCCTTGTAGCTATGGATCGGACTCATTGGAACCACGAAAAGAAATGTGGATGAATTAATAGAAAAGAAGAGGCAATGAACATTAATGAAATCTGGCTACCTGTCCCTAATTGTACATAAACAAGGTGAGGTAATCCAATCAGGAGAAACCAACCCACGCCCAGTAATAACAACATAAAACAAGAGTCAAATACCAACGTCGTAGTTACCGCGTTTGCAACGGAAATAACAATTCGAGTTCCAACTCGGACTCTGTCTACCGCAGTAGTAGACGAAATGTCAGGCATAAAAACCTGCAGACCACGGCCAAAAACCCGAAAAGCTATCACAAGACGGAAACTGGACATTTAACTGGACATCAGTTCAGAAAAAATGCAATGATTTCACATATTATTGCATCAACTGCTGTTTCTTTTAAAATTAATTTTAAATCGATTGGAAAATTGCATTCCTTAATGTCATTCTAATAATAATATTGAAGTTACATAAACTATTACTCAGATCTTCCCCAGGATGATTTAGAAATCGAATACCGACAAAATGTTTGTCCACCTTTCGAGATTGGTAGGCAATTTTGATAATTTCAACTGGAACATTTTCTATGGAAGCATTGTGAAGCCAAAGGTACGACCCATAAAATTTAAATGATTCGAAATTAACAATTATTGCTTTACTAAGTATTGCCTCCATATAATCTTATTATCTCGTTATCTAGACAGGATAATAATCATCGAACGAAACTGCCACGGGAAACGCAATTAGGTACCCATTCTCACCTATCGCTGAAATTACCGGTTCAGGTAAAATCTCCAAACTCGACACTCAACTGCTGTTCACAGAAAAAGTGTAACACCGGCCTAGAGGTTAGTTTCGACTATGCAGCGTACAGTCGGTCAGAGAAAACAACCCAAACGATCGCAGTGAGCGCGACTATCTTGGCCGACTGCGTTCCGTAATAGTGGGGAGTCTACAAACCGAAGGGGGAAGAACGCAGTAGCAACTTACACAACCGAGAGAATTCATCGTAAAGCAATACACAATACAAATATATCGGTGTTTTGATTTAGTGAAAATGACCAGTGACGTTTGTACAGATGGAAACCAGTGGTGCGCTCTAGTGAGTACGTTCAAACCCTAAACAATTGACTATTCTCGGAAGCGGCTAACACACTGCCCATCAATGCAATAAGACATTTACAGTGACAGCAACGAATAATACACTAATCCACAATGTTCAAGTTACTCGGAGGGCTCGCGAATTACCTGAAGTACCGCGATATCGTGACAGATTGTGCCATTTTTCGCCTGCACAATACCTTCACATGCGCGCTGCTGATGGCATGCAGTCTCATAATCACGGCCAATCAATTCGTAGGCAACCCTATTCAATGCATAGTCGATGGACTGCCTACACATGTGATCAATACGTACTGCTGGATATCGTCCACCTTTACGATGCCCGATGCTTTCAAAAGACAGGTAAGGTGTAACCTTTGACACACATAACTAATCGCAAATAGCAGGCCTTGAGTATGAAATCATCTGTTTAGTCATGTTTTTGATGGGAGGATCTAGGAATAGTACAGTGTGATTAGCACCAAACCCGGCAATACATAAAAAAGGTTAAGGTTGTTCACTAGTCGGGTTTAGAAAAGAGGAGGGGGAAATAAGGCGCCACTGTATGTTTTCAATGATTTCTCTAAATATTTCTATATGCTATATTATAATTGCGATATATACGTTAAACTCACCACAAAAATTGTCATATTTATTTTTTTCTAGATTCAATAGTTCCAGATATACGTAGGCAAGTATTTTACTCACCCCACCTCAGGGGGTCTAGCCCCCCTAGTTACGCTTAGCCCCTCTAGAGCAACAATTAGCCCAGCCTAGAAAAATAAAAGACATTTATGGTTACTAGTACCATTTATGAAGCTACAACTAAACAAAACAAATTTTTACATAACATAAATTTGCAACAAAATAAGTTCTGGACAGCCACACAAGATTTCAAAAAGTGTCTTCCATTAATAAATGAAATAAATGGATATTATATTAGTTTTTATATTAAGAACTTATTTTCATGGTTTGATTATTTATAAGAGGGTGTTAGCTACTACCCTAAACATATAATTGTCCGAAAAAAACATTCTGTATCGGCGTGCTTTTCAGTGCTGAAGTACTTAAATATGATATCCAGAGATTTTATTTTTTTATCATGTCCAAGTTCAATTCTGATTAGACTGGATTATTTTATCAAACTTACAATTGATTGAAGGAGTGAAATATTGACTAATTCAACACATTTTTTGTTGGTTTTTGGAAAACTCTTGAATGATTGTTTTGCATAAATAATATCGTGAATACGATTTAGCACCATAAAAAAATCAAAACAATTTAGCCTCCCACAGCTTACTAGGGGGACTCTAATCTCTCTAGACTACTGGGGGCTGTAGGCCCCCTAGACTTTCATCCTAGTTACGCCAATGCCTCACTGTAAACATGTGAATGCAGTAAAAGATTTGCTTTATCCACAAAAAAGTCCCTATAATCAAAACGTATTACATAACTGATATATACAATGTACCTATACACTCAACGAAAACAGGAAAGAAAATAATTAAAAAATGGCAAAAATAGAAAATGTAAACAGTTACTAATGTTCTTATAATGTTTCATACCAAAATATTATTGACTTGTTTTGGTCATTTATTAAATGAATCATTTTAAATGTATTTGCAAGCGGTAAATCCAGTTCTACATCACAATCAAAACACTAGCGTTCTAGAGACAGCAACTATAACATATGAGCTGATAAATATGAATGATCCTCAAGAATGGGTACTTACCATGTACAGTAATTAAGAATTCTCACACTTTCGATAGAAGTATTTACATTTGTAATTGAAACTGATTATTTAATACAAATTTATCAAGAACGGTATAATTTCAAAAAAAAATTCAATAAAACCTAAACTAGCACCTACAACAGGTCAAGTAAATCTCGAGATTATTAGAACATAGACTTTCAGCGCCGGGGTCATGATTAAAGAGAAAAACATGCGGGCTGGTAGGCCTAGGTCGAATGGAACCTGAAGTACCAAACGTTTCGTCCGCTACTGCGGCAGACATCATCAGAGTTATGAGAGTAAACTGCGAGGAGACTCAGTCGTTTCAGAAACCATGTTTCGGCAAGATCGAACTTGCCATATATATATGTGCTCTGCTTGGTAGTTGAACTTGAAACTGAGGAAAATAGTTCAGCTACCAAGCAGAGCATATAGCAAGTGCGATCTTGCCGAAACGCCATGATGATGTCAAAGACGAATGGATGAACAATCGTGGACTAGCACTCATAGAGAAAGGTGAGCAAACCACAGACACGTGTTTGTGGCTAATTAACCTCCGTCAGTACGGTACAGCCAAGTGTAAAGGATATGCAACAGTTGGTTGAGAGTCTCCACAGAAGGATCTGGCGAATGTCTGTCAATAAAAACACCTACCTCATTATTATCCGACAGTTTGCGGTCAAACTTCGATGACGTCAGTGGAATCTGAATTCTGGATACACTGTTGGATCTGTTGCTCGTTCGAGTAGGTTGTTAGATGATCACTCAATCAATTTCAGCGGGATCTGGCTGGCTGCATGAACGAGAAGAATCTCCTCTTCGAGGAAACTTGCCCAAAATGTATGTCGGATGTTATTTAGTGTCCATCATGCTATTAGCTGGAAAAGTAGTTACTTTCCGGCAAGGATTTTCCAGAACCTATTGTTTAGGTTTAGTTGGTAAAGTGACTCAATCCTGTTCTATAACGAAATAATGTATCAAAATTTCCAATAACTTAAGGGGTGAAGGAGCAACGTTGGGTGGTTGTAAGTAGAGTTATATTGCACGGTAGCAGATTTTATCATGTCGTGGTGAACTAGTGACTAGTCACTATATGTTTTTCAGTCAGAAAAACTACGTTCAAAGACTCGTATATTTTTCATTTCACTTGTGTAGTTCCAGTTGATGCCCCATTATATCAGGCATAGGCACAGGTGTTTTTTTATATGTGCTGGTGAGCCTCAGATGAAAAGAGTCCAGATATATTTCCAAAACAACGAACTAGACTCAAGTTTTCTACGAGGTTTTCTATGAATTCAGGAGAATTTAAACTACTGTTCAGTTTTTTTACATAATTTATTTTATAACAATTTTTGCAGGTTATGTTGTTTGTAAGTTGCATGAACATAAAACAGAAACAGTAATACGGAATACGCATGCGTCAGATTGATGGTTAGAAGATAATCCTCAAACCATTCTGATAGATTTCGAACAGGTTTGAATCTCGGATGGAACAGAAAACTGATAGTTTACTAATGGTTGGAAACTCACGTTGGAACGCAATCACATTACTGCGCAGAATCTTGACTGTCAGAAACTGTTTCTGACGCTGGTTGGAACGAACCTAATATGTTTTTCAGTCACAAAAACTACTTTTAAAGACTCGTATATTTTTCATTTCGCTTGTGTAGTTCCAGTTGATGCCCCATTATATCAGGCATAGGCACAGGTGTTTTTTTATACGTGCTGGTGAGCCTCAGATGAAAATAGTCCAGATATATTTCCAAAACAACGAACTAGACTCAAGTTTTCTACGAGGTTTTCTATGAATTCAGGAGAATTTAAACTACTGTTCAGTTTTTTGTGTCAAAGTGAAAAGTGTCAAAAAATATGCCAGATTCTTAGTTGACGAGTAAAATACTGAAATGATTCATAATAAGTAATATAACGATCATAGAATATGTGAATAATATGTTTTCCATGAAACAATATTTGTCACAGAAGTTATTTCCATTCTTTTATCAAACCGCAATTGGGATTGTACTATAGTGTTTTCTCTGTTATACAATCTCAATTTTACAGAAAAATGCGGCTCACGAAATCAAATTTATTAAGAGACAATTTTGATCAACGTTCATCGAGTTTCATCGAATTCATGCAACAACTTTCCTGGAGATGGCGCTGCAAACTATCCTGATAAAATTAAAAAATACGAATGCTAACGTTAACTATAGATTGTTGAAGATATAAGTATCAGATCAGTTTGGTTGTTATTCATTTATGACTTTGAGAGACATTTCGAAAAGTAAACTTTAAGGTTAGGTGAGATATATGAGAGGTCGCCTCCTGTAAAGAACTAGCATCAGTACCTAGAATGAGGTTCATTCTTGGATTATACGATGATAAGATCGAAAGCTTACTCATAAATGTGGCATCATACACTCACTCAGGGATATCTCGAACAAACATTGAACACACAACAAATTTTGGTAACAAAACTTATCGAAAAATGTCTTCCATACTCCTCGAAAATATCATCGTTAATATTTCCAACATCTTCCTGAGGATACTTGTTTGAGTGGAATTTTAAAAAACTCAATTTCGTAGTCAATCTTTTGAGAAGTCTAAAACTCCTGAAACAGAAACAATTTCTCTTGTGTCTGGTGTTATTCAAATTCAGCAATTCTAGAATGAACTTAGCTGCCAACCACTTTCTCAACATTTTCATCGGTTGTTGATGTGCTAGGGAGTCCAAGAAACGGTCATACATATAATTGACGGTTTTTTCAATAGCCATAGAAAAACGGGTTCACCGATCGGAAAAAATTGTTTTTGCAAATAGCTACACAAAAATTAAATTTACATGAACAAAAATACTACAGAAAGTATTTTAAACTTTCATGGCTTTTCAGTTTCACTGTTCTATTATAAAATGAAAATTGTGCCAATAAAAGCTTATGCCTACTTAACGTGCAAGTTTCTGTATTTACATACAGATATTTTTAAATATTCTTATCTGTAGATAAGTGATTTACAGATACATTTCTTCATCTCTATAATCAAGAAGATTTATGATGGGGCCCACAAAATTAACAGTTGTTTGTTTAATTTTTGCATTTCAACTTTGCTCTTTTATAACGAAGTAAACCCAAAATGTAGATGCCATTGTCATCTATCGGTTTCCTAGAACAGTGAATTATTTTACCCCCTGCAGTAAATACCTACCGATAGTAAAGGAACAGATGGATTTAAAATAGTTAAGTAAACATTTTTGTTAAAGTACACAGCAGACAAAATAAAAAATAATAGTTGAATAAACATCAAATTGAACCAAAAATAGATTGTTCAGCTCGTTACATCCAAACATATTTATAGAATTGTGGGGTCATTATGCTATCGTAAAAGGACGCGTAATTGGTTAATTCTATAGAGTCAACCGAGATGTTTCGTTATTCGTACATCTCGCTACCTAAATTGAATAAGTGAACGGGCTAATTTGTGAAAGGAAACGAAGGAAATACCCATTGTTTAAATTCGTCTGGAAACCGGAGCTCGGGAATGAAAACAATTATTATTGCATCAGCTGTAGAATTATAATTTCAAATTATGTAAAAGGAGGTGTCCAGTTTATATTCTTATTCATAAAATTTC